CTGTAGTCCAAACTCCATCTGCATGCAAAGAATGCAATTCAGAAGTGACCCAGATTTACAATAGATAAACCACTGATGTAATGCTAGTATCAGAGAAGAATTACATCCTCATATGTGTATATACATACACACAAATATATGTATGTGTATATATATATACATACATACATAAATAAAACATTTATATTTCTTAAGAGAATATTGTAACTCCTCAAATAGCCTCCCAGTAGCAAAATAAAAGCACGTGGCTTGCTCTTTTCTGGAAGATTAAAATGCCATTTCCTTCAAAACAGGAGAAATTCAGACCATGGTTGACCTTATTCTCCCCAGAGCCGGGCAGAGTCATTGCAGAGAGTTTCAGAAGTGTTGCAAGTGCAAAGCTCTCCCTGGCACATCCACTGGGATCACTGCTTGCAGGTTTGTGTTTGGGCATTTTAGAACCATTTCCAAGGATTTTTTAACAGGGCCTGAGGATGTGCCAAACAAGTGAAACCTATTACAGACTCTAGCTCTAGCATGAGAATTATTTGAAGGGGAGAAAATCCACATTGGTTTTGATTTATAGAGAACAGAAACAGCATTTTGGTTTCAGATATTTTCAGGAATGATTTATATATACATGACCTCTAAATGATGCTGATCTTGTTGATGCAAACGACAGCTCTAATATTTCTTAAGGCATCATTTCCTATGAGCACATGTGCTTATTTCCTCAACTCTCTCTCCCGCAACTATTTGTCAGATAACACTCTCCGGTAGTGCCAGACAGAATCATAAAATATCTCAGGTTGGAAGGGACCCATAAGGACTGAAGTCCAACTCCCTGCTCCTTGTACCTGGCAACATTTTGGAAGGCAGCATGCAACGACTGCCTGGCAGCACCCAGGTTGGATTATGTGACTCCAGGGATGTGCATCAAGCCACGTCCAGGATACCTCCCCAGACGTAAAAGAATCAGTGGAAGATTACTAGGCTGTGCTGAAGGTTCGCCTCAGTCCTACAGCCACACTGTGCCATCACTATCTTTGGGGTTTTTTTTTAATCATAATCACTTGGGCTTTTAGGTAATTGGAACAACTGGGGTGATTAATTGCATGTTTGCACTGAAAACAGAAGAGCAGGGAGGGTTACATTACAGGCTAAATATTTTCAGAGAACTCTATCAGCTGGTAGACATAACAAATGCCATCAGTCCAGTGCAACATGAAGCTGCGCACATTGTGCAAACTGGTTTGCTCTGGAACTAAAATCTCCTCAAAAGAAGCCAAAGTGTTTAAAAAAATAAACTGAGTCAGAGTGCATAGGGGGAAAAGAAATATTGACATGTGAGGCTGCTGTACTTCTAACATAAAGAAACACTGTTTTCCCTTTGGTCCTTTTATTGTCCAAATAGAAAGTGCAAAGCACAGGAGAATGCACACAACAAGGCAATCTGCACAAGCGAAAGCCATTAGGGTTTGCGTGGAAGCAATGAGTTACATTGAAAGGAAAACTGAAAAGCACTCGGTGAGATACCTACAATAGTGACACATTCCTTCCTGACAGCAAGAAGGCAAAGCAACTTGCCTGCAACTACAACTCAACCACTAAGGATTTTGGAAAGGGAGGTTAAACCCAAGAACTTAAGATACTCACACTAACAGTTTAATTTGTTGAATCCTTGCTTACAAGTCTGGGCATTCATCTTCTATTCATCAGTATGCAACTGAAATGCTTGAATACAGACTCAGCCTCTGGATTTCTTTGCAACCACCTGGTCTCCAAAAGTCCACTTTAACTAAACAGAGCATGAATGCTTACTCAGATACACTCACAAAGAAGAAACAAGAGTTAAGAACAGGCACTGGCCATCCCAGTCATTAAGGCCATGCCAGCAGACCGCAGAGTGCAAAATTCCCTGTAAGGGAGGGGATGTCCTGGATCTCCCACAGCAATGCCAAACATGGCTTACCTACCACAGTGTTGTTATCATGGCCACCATCTTCCTGGGTGTCTATAAGGAATATGACTGCTACCAGCATTGTATAAGCTCAGGAGTGCTCTGCAGAATCTAATGTCTGCACCAAGGCAGGCAGACTTCTATCAACTCATGAACTGTAGTTCTTGCCATCATCAGCAGGGAGATGTCTGCCCATGCTCCTCCACAGACATGCCCTTGGGCAGCTCAGTCCAGAGCAGCCTTTAACATCAGTGACTCTATACGATCTGGTCCATGGTGCTCATCAGTCTTACCTTCAGCTGAGCCTTTATAAGGCTACTCAGTGAGGTGCACTATGAAATTGTACACAAATAAAAAGCCTGCTTCTTATATTGCTCACACTACCACAGACTTGCCTGGTTACACAGAGAAAGAAGTGAATAGTGAACGGTTTTATGTTCCATTCCTATGATTGGAGACTTTGTGCTTTAACACAAGCCCTGGGGTCACAGGGCAGGAACACAGTGTTTTCTTTCCAGTCAGCATGGAACTGACATTTATTAGATGAGTGTTTTGTTCTATTTGTTTTAAGTCGATTACATTTTAACTCAGTTCAACAATGCTGGAAAACCTGACAAAATACTCCAGTGTGTTTAATGAACATAATGGACAAACATCTGAAATTTAAAGTAAGAGTATATAGCAACAAAAATACTTTCTTTATACCAGTAGATCTGCCTTTTCGGTTCCAGTCACTGCCAAGTTTTTGTGTCTCTGCATTTGGGAAATCTGTGTTAAACATTTCCCTTTAGTTAAGAAAAGTCCTCTCAGAGAAATGGCAGAGGGTTTGGTGATTAATTATTGAAGAAATTGACTTTTCATTTTAATGTAACTGTGGAATTTTTGTCAGGCTCGTTAAACTGTCAAGTCCTCACCAGTTTAAGTGAATAAGCAACATGAATGTAAGAGGAGTGGAGGGCAGGGGAAGAGTGCTGAGGTATACACCAGTAGTATTTCTGTACATTCCCTCCAGAAGGGGCCCATATGTGTTTTCAAGTTTCATCACGTTTAAATAAGATGAAAAAAGAGCAAAATTAAAAGACTGATTCTGCACTCAAACAGGTTAAATGCCAAACTTGTGAATGCATTTAACAGAACTATAGATCATTTTCCTGTATTCTCCTCCGTTGGACACAGGGACAGGCTTCCTCTAGCTCCTCATAGCTGCTCCAGCCCCAGCCCACACAGTGGCTCAGTGCTGCCACCACCTCCTCTAAGTGGGGACATGAAAGAGCTGCCGTGGCAGCTGAGGCCACCAGAAGTCACACACTTCTGACAGCACTTGTGTACAGCCTGACTGGGACCTAGGCTGTTGGGGATGGGAGCTGTGGACACTTTGGCACAGCCCAGTGCAAGCAGGCAGGACTCCAGCCAGGCTGAGAATTGCTCCATCCCGCTTACCCAGCCACATTTGTAGCTGTTCTGCATTAAGACACCCACCCTCCCTTTGCTAGCTTTCCCACTGAAGGACAGCAATTTATAAACTACATACTCAAGCTTTGAATTTACTTCCTTTAGCTAAAGGTTGTTCCTTTTCAACACAAATAGACACATTGCTACAGGGGAAGAAGTATCCTTCTCCAGCTTAGACCAAGCTTTGTATTCAAATATCCAAATTGTTACAGGGATATCAACTTCAGTTTGATCAGTGCAGAAAAGGCAAAGAGCCCTTCTTGAAAGCCCATTTCAATGGCTAAGTGACTGCACAACAAAATTAACATTTCCATTGTCATTTTGTTCACTGTCATTGTCAAGAGAAAGCATGTGCTTATTCCTTCTGTACTTCAGCACTTAATTCACTAGTTACACAGAAAAGTATTCTGAAGCTCATGGAGCTCTGACTTCATGTTTAAACTAAGGTCCAGAAAAATTAATAAAATCAATAAACTAAGGTCCAGAAAATTAATAAAATCAATAATAAAACCAGGACTTCTGCAAGCATCAAACCATTCATGAAAATTTGACTAAGATGAGTATTTTTATTTTAAATGAAAGCCTTTTAAGTTACTACTCACTTATTATTCAGTACACTACACTTAACCTATTTCTATCGTGTAAAATGCTCCTTAACAAGAAATAGAAAGACAGCCTAAAAAACATGCTTTTTCTGATAACTTTTTTGCAACCTGCTAAATATACAATGGGTCTGTTTAATGGGCAGTGTTCTAAAATAGCAAATAAAACTGGCTACTTGATGCTCCTCACACACACAAGAAAAATGAACCACCTATTGGAAAAGATCTTATTTTTCCAGTTAGGACACTAAAACCAGCCTCTCCAACGTGAGTTTGACTGTTAACATAAGCAGTACCTAATTCATACACTAGTACTATCTGAGGATACAGCACTCTGCTGAGAAGACAAAAGTCACTTTGGATGGTCTAGAAATTCTCTAGAGAAAGAGGCCAGTCTGGCTCAGGTTGAACAATTCTGTCACTAGTCACTCTCAGTCTACACATCATCCCCTCTCAAAACAATCTGATTATTCTACTTGCTGAAACTTTGCAGTATACAGAGGTTGTAGTTTCAATCTTCCTTACTGGCAGAGAAAGGAATTCCAGTGAAAGTCTTGCTTTGATGGTAAGTGGTTAATGTTATGTTCAGATTGCAAGGAAAACACATGACAGAGTAAGAGAACCAATCCCACATACAGCAGCTCACTTTAATCAAAGCACCTGAGGCAGCCTCAAAGTGTGGTGACTTAGATTTAACCTGCTGCTTGGGTTGATACAACAAGGAAAGCTGCACTGCTGTAATTCAATGGCTTATCATGTAACATGTAGCTCACAATCAAGTCAGATACTTCTGAATAGCATCAGTCCTGCATGTATTCTCCCAACAGCGGCTCAGTCCTGCTCCCACTGAGAAACTGCCCCTCAACATCATCCTGCGTATATTTCATGCTTTTAACAAGTATTCTAAGGAAAATGATACATTCTGGTTTGGAATTTTCAATTCAGAATAACACTGATTAATTAGTCTAAGTAGATACCATACTCTATCTTTTGACAGAGACACTTACAGGTTTGCATTCTGGATCACATGTTGCTTTTCTTCCATGGAACAGTAATCTTGTAGGGTTCTGCATTCTGATCATAATTCAATGCAGTTTTCTTTGTACTTTTCAGAGCTAGCCCGGGGTTTTGTTGTCTCTGCATATGCCTCTAAAAGGAGTCAAACTCACTGGAGGAAACACTAGCTCTCCAACCACAGTCATTTTCTTTGCAGGTTTCTGCTTTCTTAAATCTGTTTGTCTAAACTGTGGCTCTCAATCAGATGTAAAAGCATGTATATTTGAGAGGAAAAAGTCTCGTGTTTTATGCAAAGTCAATATTCTAGAACTCTTGAATGTAGCAGAAGATGACAAAATGTAGAAAATCGGCTTGAAATACATTAAGTTGAAGAGTGAACTGTGAACAATCCGAAGTTCTGTGACTCATACAAGGTCCCTATTGTCTTTGTAGGCTCTGAGCTAGGGCCCTTTCCTCTAGCTCTCCCTGATGGACATCCCACTCCGTCGTGATACATTCTAGCTCTTCATCTGCTAAGGTTCCTTGTTTCCTCATTCTCTCACTCAAGTGTGAGAACAGAATGCCATTTTGCAGGGAGGGAGGTTTATAACCTAGGAATGATAACAAAAAAAAAAGACTTTTAGAATTGCTGTAATTATAATCTACTGCTCTAGAACAGCAGCACAAGACACCATGCAAACCAGATCTGTATACGGGCTGTACTTCCACAAGTTTACATCATACAGTTTTAACAGCTTAGGCATCATTTTGCTGCACACATTTCAAGTCCAAAAAAGGTCTCTAAAACCACTGATCTGACAAAACCAGGATAAGAAGAGAATTAACTGCCTGACTTTACTCGTAGGCCTGAGGTCAGGTATTGCACAAAACTGTCCCAACTCTGGTTCACCTACTATACCACCCTGCCTCATGAATCATCCACTAAAAGCTAGCTTGCTTAACCTCTGCTTAAAAGCTGTGCGATTCAAACACTGTAGTAATCACTACTCAATTTGACAGTCTTGATCTTAGAGGGGGAAAGCTAGAAACTTAGTATAAATAGATCTTTGACCAATCTTTTCCCTACAGTTCCATAAATAAGTTTATTTCTTTGTACTACTGCATAAATATATGTAACTTTCATGAAAAGAGGCTCTCAAAAGCAGGGTTTTAAGCTGAAGATACCACAGGATATGTCGAACTGCACCAGCCACCACTGAACACACCCTAGAGAGAATAAGTACCACTGTCTGCTGCACTGAAACAAATGAACGGTCTTTACAGCACATTACTCTGTTTTATAGTGCCCTTTCTTACAGCATTGGGTCCTTTCAGCAGGCAGGTCAAGAGCTGCCTACCCTAAACAGCAAGTGTGCTCCCGAGCTCCAGTGCATGGCACCAAGAGCAGTCGCTGCCTTCTGAACTATCTATTTCATGAGACAGACCACATTCCACTTGTTATTTCTTCAACACACCCACCTGTGTTTCTTCCAGAGAAACATGCTTAGTTGTTTTAGACTTAGTAATGGAAAATTCACACCACCCTCTTGGTCATCTGTTCCACCGCTTAACTGTCGTCTTCTGAAGTTCCACTTCTGAACTTGGAAACTGGTGTAAACAAACCAAATTAGTTTAGCCAGCTAGAAACACTGTGAAGACATAAACTGGCCTGGAAGAGTCAGATTTCATTCGACCCTGAATCTGTCTTAGACTGAACAAGTTCAGCATGAGTAAGGACAAGTCTCACAGGGCTAACATTAGGGCTCAATATCCCTTGAAGCTCAGTTTTAAGTCCAAGGAATCCAAAGCCACAAGTAACTGTGTTGAACTGCTTTAAAAAGAAAGGTATTTTGGCCTAAGTCTTAAATGTTTCCCTTTCCTGTTTTTAAGCTACAGGCTTTTTTTTTTTTTTCTTTTACACTTTTCAAATGATACAAATATTCTCAAAGAAGGAAATTTTTAAATGGGTATAAATGTAAAGCAACAAGTACTGGTAAAGTGTAACAGGCTCGATGAAAGACAGTGCCATACATGCCTTCCAGAACTTGGGTTTAAAATGTAGTAATTACTTACTACACAAGCAGTCAGACACCTGATAACGTGATTGTCACTTTCATGCTAACAATGACTTAGATAAGGCAACTGACAAAAGTTACACACTTGAGTTTAGCTCTATACACAGATGTCTGATGTGACCAACCTCCTAGCAAGTCTTGCTGTACAAGAGCTACATCAAACTACCATCCTGCCACCACTACCCTGTCAGCACAGGTCAGCATTTCCCTCAGGACTCTATTGGAGGAGTAGCTATAGGCTCTGCACCAGCGAATGAACACATATCCACCAGATGACCTTCTTCATGGAATGTTTCCCTTTTGCACTACTAAGGCTGTAGTCAAGGCACGTGCATCACAAGTGCAAATCAAACCAGCAGCCCAGCCCCGGCACAGAGTCATCATTTGCACTCTGTACCTCCACACTGACAAGACACTGAGGGATTCCACATCATGTGCAGCTACTGCAGCAGAAAAGCTGTCGCGACCTCCAACCGATGGTGTTTGATCTACTGAAGCAAGCAGACATTTCCCTCACCCACAGGGCCCAACACTCACCACGCTAACGGCTTTGGGGCCACCTGAGTCCCGCCAGCACCCAACAGCTCCCCAACGGCACGAGACTTAGGAGTCAGGGGCACGCGGTCGGGATGTGCACTACCCATTAGCGCCCATTAATAAAACGCTGGCCACACTTGTCCCCGTTAACCCATGGCAGGGTGAAGACAGGCCGCTGTGAGGGAGCGGGATGGATTCAGGAAGAGATGGATGCTCCCTCCCTCCCTCATAGCCTGGCACTCTAACAGCGCTTCAGCGGCAGGATAAAAGATTGTTTTTGTACGGGCCCTGGGCTGAGGGGACCCAGAGGCAGTGGGGAGGGTGGCTGTAGTGTCCCAGCTGTACTGTGCCCTCTTACTGCAGGCTGGAACAGTGGGGCTGAGTTGTGCCTGTCGCTGTGGGAAAGGGTGCACTGACACCTCCTTTCTTTATAGCCTCTGAAGTGCACAGACTCTGGAGTGTGTTGGTAACACCTTGGTCTTCAAAAGCAAAGTGGTGTGGTGTCTCCCACTGTGTGCATACAGCCACTGGACTGTTCCTGGTGGTGGTGATCACCTGCTGGTGATGGAGAGGTGGATTTCTCCTCTGCAGGTAGCTCCCAGCCCTGTGAGGAAACACAAGTGCAGGTTATGATTTTCATCTTCCTACAGAATATTCTTTCAAGTATGCTTTGCTTCTTTAGATGAAACGTGTTTTGTTATTTCTCTGTTTTTTTTTCCCTTTTAGCTTTGTTTCTCTGATTCATTCGTATGTCATCATTGCTCTGGCTAAGAAAAACAGTGTATTTTGAGGAAGAACAAAATACAGGTGCAGACTGGGTCTGTAAGGAACATTAACCAAGCAGGTGTGGTCTCTGCAGATATCTCTACAGCTTTGGGGGAATGGGATTGCTGGCCTTGTACATGCCTTGGAAAGAGAGGCAGGAAGATGGCCAAAGTTATATTTAGAAGCAAATCTGTAATCCTGGGGCTGGGGAACAACAGGAAGAACTGTTTCACCACGGCAGGGGGGTTGGAACTAGATGACCTTAAAGGTCCTTTCCAACCCCAACTGTTCTGTGATTCTATGTGAGACAGTGCATGAGGAAAAGAATGTAAAATCCTAACTATCTGCAGGTACATGAGATTTGAACTGCTTGGATGTAAATTTGTATTTGCTGTTGGAAGAGCACAAGAAGCAGTCGATTTGCATCTTGATGAAAAGAACTCATTTCTTAACAGGAAACAGCCTGTCATAGAAAACTAGGAAGGTGCTCCCAGGAAACTACGCATATGATTTATTTAAACAACATTTTGGAAGTTTTTGTATTCACTTTAACTTATGTGGCCTGGACACTTCGCAGTAAATCATACCAGTCAAACTACAAACCCCTGACAGTAATTAGTGAATGAAACCAGAAATGCCTCCACTGAAGACAGGTACACAGCAGAGAAATGAAAATGGTGTGAGATCACAACTGGCCCACCATTAGAGCCATAGCGGATCACCCGATGTAGTCAGTAGGTTGCTGGTAATGTTGCCTCCAAAGCTGAGGGCAATATAAAACTTAAACAGGGGAAGTTTGGATTGGATATAAGGAGGAAATTCTCTCCTGTTAGGGTGGTGAGGCACTGGAATGGGTTGCCCAGGGAGGCTGTGAATGCTCCATCCCTGGCGGTGTTCAAGACCAGGTTGGACGAAGCCTTGGGTGACATGGTTTAGTGCGAGGTGTCCCTGCTCATGGCAGGGGGGTTGGAACTGGATGATCTTAAGGCCCTTTCCAACCCTAACTGTTCTATGCTTCTATGAATATCCAAAAAGCCAGTGGGAACGGCCAGCAAGGGGAAACAAGAGGAAAATACTATTTGCTCTAAAAGAAGAAGTACCAAAATAAGCCTAGTAGCTTTGGTGGTTTTTTTCAGATGTGTTCTCACCTAGGCTTTTCATGCCTTGCTCATGTATAAGACATACCTGTTGGGGTGCAGTGGGTGAGTGAACCAGCACATCACTGCCTGGTCATCTATGGTGGATCTGGAACTCTCTCAATGGCCTGGGCTAGACTAAAACGTGCAGTGACACTCTGATTTCAAGAATAAATTCCACACACTCTTTCTTTACATTTGGATTTCTCCTGTACATTCTGGCAAGCAAAGTAGAGACATAACACTGTGACTAATGCTAATGTTGCAGTAGTAAAATACTGGGCAAAAAAATAGGAAAAACAGGCCCACTTGCCCATAAGAATGATTTAATTAATGTTTCCACTGTTCCAAAATAGGTATGTTTCACATCATAAAGAATTCTTCCATCAGGACAACTATTTTTTCTTAAGGGGAGGGAGAATTCTGTTTGCAGCAACCTGACTTTATTGGTAGGGAATTAAGTATTTCTTTGGACTGCTGTTCAAAATTAATTACTCATTAATGTGGAAAAACCAGCCATAAGTCTGTGGTGGATTCAATGTCTTCCAACTGGATCCATCTAACTCAAAGAAGAAAAAGAAAGGACATGGAGTATTATAATTACTGTCATATGAAAACCTGCTTCAGTCCAGATGTAGAAGCTGATAGCATAGGAGTGTTAAAAGTCTAGAAGTCTGGTGCAAGGCAATAACAAACGAACCTCACATATGTTTGCAGAATGGACATATTACGTGATCCTTCTAGAATCCCTTGGGTTTGTTTTCTCTTTTCCAAAGCTTCTACAGAAAATGCACATTTACAACAATCTGAGGCTTTGGACAGTGTCACAGACACCTCTGGATAAAACTTGGATCCTACACTTGCATACCTATCCAACGCTGTCAACTCTACCCTCGCAAGTAATTCCACTAAAAGTAATGAAATTAGCGGTGTGAGGAAACATTGAAAAACCACTTCCTTATTTCAGGGTTTCCCCTTCAGGGTACAAAGCAAGCCTGTTGCTCTGTGGTGACCTAAGGGCTTGCAGTGAGGACAGAGGATTGACAGAAGTGTCATGAATCACATCTTCAGAAGTTTGGATCTGTTTAGCAAGGGAGTCAATCCTCAGAAATCAGAAAAAAATAATGATGACAAATGCTATGGGCAGAATTCCTCCTCCAGTCAGCAGCAGCTTGCATGCAGAAAGATTTCAGAAGCAGTTATTGTAGCTAACCTTCATTTTTCTTCCCAAATTTTATAAATTTGACCAAAAGTCTATGTAATTAAGGCTTTAATAAAAAACAATAAAATTCTGGGATGATTTAGGCTGGAACGAACCTCTGAGTGACTTGTGTAATCCACATAATTCCATCTCAGTCCAAATTGATTTAATTATCCCAAAGTCATTTATTTAAATAAATGGAGTCAGAAGAGTTTAATTATTGGAAACATTGGTTGGCACTAAGTTTGGAATTAAAATTATTCACTTTGAAGTCCTTAAGTGTACAATATGACAGTACCAGTCATCAAGGAACACTTTTTCCTTGGTTAAAAAGGACAAACTGAGCATAAAATGGGAGAATGAAACCTTGAATTACCCATGTAAGATAATTCTTGTTGTCAACTGCAGACTCTTACCAAGTCATTAATTTTCCATTCAGAGATAGGTGCAAGAATCTCCGAACTGAAGACTATTTTTGGGCTCCCATTGTAAGGCAACTTCTTCATCTCTTTGTTTAGTGGCCTTTCTCTGACTCTTCTAAGAACTCACTGTATCTCTCTGGAGATGAGCAATGGTCTGCAGCACTGCAGTGAGAGAAGTCCTACTGGAGTGCCATACCGTCATTCAAACAGCCAAGATAAAGGCTTTAGTTTACTCACTGATAATTCAAAAAGATGGAGGAAAAGGAAAACCAGGAGTTTGGCTTGGCAATCTGGAAGCAACAGAGAGAAAGAACTGTATATGCAGTGTATCAACAATGGCCGTGGGTTACAGCCAGTGAAATGGGCTGAAGCCCATTTCCTTTGAGATTTAAGGAGTAATTTAACACTGAATATGACTTCAGAAAAATATCTGGGAAGGAGACTATTCAACCATGCGTCTCATACCTTACTATTTCCTTAAATCATTATATTATATATATAGAAAACCAACCCTCTCTATACAGAGGACCCTGCTTTGTGGGTGCCGCTGGTATTTCTATTTGTAGATTATTTTGAGAACAGCTTTGCTCTGTCCAGACACAAAATCACAGAATCCCAAGGGTTGGAAGGGACCTCGAAAGATCATCTAGTCCAACCCCCCCTGCAAGAGCAGGGTAAAGAAGTATACAGAGTTTCACAAGCAGACAGCAGTTTTAACAGCAGGTTTGGGATGCTCCTGGGAGAAACACTCCTGTTGTAAATCTAGTATATAACAACTTGTACGTCAGATTATTTGCTATACATACAGGTGGGTTTCGGTTTTTCCTCCTGGCAGGTCTCAGTTTGCCACTTTTACTTTTGACCCAAAATGCCAAGTGCTGGAAGGCATTCCAGCAGATCATCAACTGCATTGCAAAAAATAACTGAGCAGCTTAGTACAATTACTCTACATCTTGAGCAAGGGCTTACTAGTCCAAGCAGCAGAAAAGAGGGATGTTTATTTTACTGTGCTCACCACAACAGCAGTGAAAAGCTGTAGAAGAAAAATACTGAAGCCTACATCTCTCCAGACAAGTTTGTTGCATAGAGCTGGTCAGGACAACATCTTACATTTGGCTAGAAAATCGTGTGTAGATATGCAAGCCTCAAATCATCAAAACCACACCAACAGTTTAATGTATCTTTTTTTAATTGTACAAAGTCCCCCCCCCCCCAAAATTATTCAAACATTAACAACTGATCCACTTAATACAAAACCAATTCCTCTAGGCAAAACTGTAGAGCAATGTACCTTTCATTGTTAATTAAACATTGTCAAATCAATTTGACTAATTATTTTCCTAAATGGTGTTTTGTCTTAGTTTCCTAGGGAATCTCTCCACACCTTTGATACGCCACAGTGCACTTCCAATATGCATGTATAAAGCTGTCTACATGAGCTCTTTAGAAACAAATAGCTGTTTCGTTTCAGCTGTACCAAGTTAAACAACATTGAAATTCTGTATAAAACATCAAGTACATTCAAAATGCTGAAGCCTGTCTTTAAGATCAGTCTGTCCCCAACCTGAACAGAAGGTGCTTTAAAGGTGGCTCACCCAAAAAGCAATGCAGGGGCAGTGGATTTCAGCCTGCACCATACCTTGTTGCAAATTCCTCCCATATCGTTCTTTGACAAGCACCCACTATTCCCACACCCTGCTGAATCCAGTGAATCATGTTTCTAGGCAGCCAAGTAAATCAGGAACCCAGACTGTCTTCAGGCTCCACATCACTTAACTCTTCCATAATATTCAGAACCAGCTTTTTACAGCAAATTGATACACAAACAACACATTCTGACTACTGTCAGGAACAGAACCTATGGAATGCACATAGGTTCCAGAGATCTTATTCCAAAGTCAGGGAGCCATCTAACCTCAGCAAAGGAAACAAATTCAGTCATAATAATCAGCTGCTTCCACCTGCTTAAGAGGGAAGCGATTTATCATGACTCTGGAAAACCTTTTTTTAAGAACAAGGGCTTTACAGTGGTAGGGAGGCAGTGCTGTGAGCCTGGTAGCTCTAATATGATCATAAAGTGAGCCAGGGGACTAACCCCCTTCTTCTAGCGGTTGTGACTCCTCAGTGACTAAGTGTCACTCCATCCTCATGTTAACTAACACCCTCAATAGCACTGCCTGCTACTCAGCTCTTCTCTAGCCCATTTATTCTTTAGAATACATTCTACATTCTTGATCTTTGCTTGTTTCTTCTGGGGAAGATGCTTGGCCAGGTTGACGAACTGCCCCTGAATCCTGACTGTTAGCTTCAGTAGCTGAAACACAAATTAAGAGCAGAAAAAGGTCAGAGTTAAAGATACAAGCCCCAAACCCTGTATTTCCACTTGCATTATACTCGGTATCAATCACAGTTTTAGTTTGTTTTTCAGTGCAGTTAATTAAAAGGTGCTTGACATCCAGAGCTGCAGCTCTGCAAGCTGACATCCTGCACTTCAGACAGCAGCTGACTGCTTCAGCCATGCTTAAAGAAATGTAGCAAGAGTGCTTCAAGATAGCAAGTGTTGAAGCTTCACTGGAATAGGCTCTTTTGCCCACTTAACCACAGTGATTCTATGCCATGCATGTTTAACACTCCTGTGAAGTCTCAAAGGCCGTGACAGACTGAATAATCCTTACTTCAAATCCAACTAGGAATTTTCACTTTATAAAGTATTTACTTGCCAATTTGAATGAAAAGCTTCCTCATTTCCTCACCAAGGCGACTTGGGGGTTTGTTTGTTTTTCTGTGGCTTGCTCTTTTAGAAAGCCAACCATCTGCAATAGGCTCCATCCTCAGATGTTCTACTGGCTCTTCTACTGGACATACCTTGTGTTTATTTTGTCAAATTTCCATAATGTTACTAATCAATACTGGATTGTGTAATGACATGGCCTATATGTCACATCACTCTCGTAACCTTACTGGCGTCAGTCATTCAACTGCAGTGAACTGTTGACTCAAACCTTTCTGGTAGCAGCTTCTAGCCTTAGAAAACCTTTCTCAAACAGGACTTGTTATTTGTCTTCATCCTGGATTCCCTTTGGAGCAGAGATCACAGACATTTCACCAGTTGACCCCTGCTAGAGTTTTCTATATCCATTTTCCTGCGACAGTATTGCAAGATAGCCCATTTCACCTCTACTCCAGAGGTCACTCAGGAAGGATCTTCCCAAGTCTTGACTGCAGGTTTGACTCAGTTCCTTTCTTGGGGAAAAAAGAAAGGATGCAATCTTAACACACTCCTATGCACTAAATGTTATTTTTCAAACATGCTGAATACCAGAAACAAAGAATTAATAATTTCACTGTAGCTTGCTCTACATCTGCATCTTCTGCTTGCAGGCTATTTTGTGTATGACTTCACATAGAAATATCCCCCCTCACTGGGTGACAGTTCCAAAGTACTGCTTACCCCAGAGCACAACTGCAATGTAGTGGAATTAAATTGTACTTTCTCTGTAGTACTAAGAAAACTGGATTGTTCTCTGAGCAGCACAATCCATGATGCATTGTTTCCGATGGCTTTGTGCCTGGGTTGTCATTCCCCCAGTGTGTAATAAGGGCTGAGATCATTAGATGGCATTTTGCTCTCTGGGGAGGTGTTCTTAAGACCTCTCTTCTCTATCCAGTTGCCTGTTTTCACGATTGTTTGGCCAGTACAACTTCCCTCCACCAATACAGTACTGGATTTCCTGTGCTCTCCTCACGCAATATCACTACTTCTCTCCATGTCCCTCATGTTTGGCTGCTACTCCCAGTTCTTTCCCATTGCCACACACTCCAGCAGAATAGCCGCTGCTCCCTATGTGTTCACTGCCACTGCAGTTTCCACCAGATCTTTTGTCCTCTCCAAACCACAAACCCCATTAATCCTCACACACACTTTCTGGTTTGCCTGCCAGCCCTTGTTTTCCTCTCTTCCTTCAAACACAGCCCTGTCATTTCATCAGGATCTCCTACATGCTGCATTGAAGTCCTAATGCCTTTGTGAGTATCTTAAAGTAGCTTTACATTTCTGCGATGTCTATACACACACACACACTGCTACATTTTTCATATTCCCCTTATCCACCACATCTCCTGCTTACTTTTCTTTGGCTTTCCAGCCAGACAAGAAGCAGGTATGCTCTGACTGCTCTGGAGATACGTGCTCACTGCTGGCTTGACAGGCAGGCATTTGGTTGTTGGCCAAAGTACACACACGTCAGTCAGGAATTGAGTGCAAGCTGACAGCCAGCCAAACACCACGACATGGCTGCAAACAAATGGTTGTGTGGGAGGCATCTGCTTCCCTTGCAGATAAATATTGTGTAGGCCTGTGATCACAACAGATATGTTTGGCTGAAAATAACTAATGGGTTGAAAAGTTACGAGAGGCCTGACATTAACAGAAAATGAGACTGTGTGAGCCTTATGTTGTTGAGAAACCAGGCCAAAAAAACCCACCCTAATTGTATTTTGTCCCACATAACCACCACCAGCATCTTTTCAATTCAAATGAGAATTGTTATACTGTATTTCTCCTCCCTCTTATACAAGGGATTTTTCACTGGGTGATTACTGTAATCTGCTTCATATATAGATTTACAATCTTTTATTCTCATGTTCAAGAAAAGAAATGCAGTTGTATTTATTTTTCTGCCTTTTTAGAAAGACTTTTAACTAAAACTGGCTATTCCCTCATCCAGTGCCGGTGATTAATTCTCTGAGCAGCTCTACCCTCTTGTGGTCACAGGCAGCTGCAGCCAAATGAAGAACTTGCAAATATAACCGCAACTATGTCCACATGTAGGCACAATACACAAAAGAGACCCCGAAAGAGAGGGGCACAAAGACTTAACCTATGCTGGAAATTTAAAATCCTGTGAGATTCAATAAAACAAGTCAACCTTTCACTGACAGCAATTAAAGTGCAGGATTTTCGGATGAGCAAGAAATTTTGTCTTATTTATGCTGTTAGTCTTCTTTTTCTTTTTTTTTTTTAACATTTTGTCTAAATGGAAACAGAGCCAAGTAATTTTGAAAACATGTCCTGCAATCTGGTTATTTAGAAAAATATTTGCATTTTGAGAACATCAACAGCTCATATTCTGCAATAGCCTTCAGCGTCGGCGCAGGATTGAGGTCCTTGTCAGCTGGAAAGCCTGAGCATGTCAGGCTGCTCCCCCTAAGTGAGCCCTTCCCAGAGCTAGACAGGCTGGCAATCCCTCCTGGGACTTCAGGATCTCAGTCCTGCCTCTACCACAGGGATCCATAAGCCTCTGTGAACTAGCTAGAATTGGGGTCTCTTGGGGATTCCACATCTGTGTTCAGATAGCGAAACCAGGTTAAAACTGGATCTCCCAGAGCTCATCTCACACTCCCTTACCCTGTGCTTCCTTGGTTGCTTCAGCCAACACGTTCAGTGAAAGGGGAGGTGGAATGTAATGAATCCCTGGCAGAAGACTTGGTGGGATGAACTGAGGCAGAGGAGCATAGTATCCTTGGTGTAAATCTCCACCTCCATCTGGAATCTGTGGAAACACATGAAGAAAAGCATCTTCCACCTAAAGGCTCTCTCCAGGATACATCTGCAGTATCAAACAATTTCTGTTTCAATTTGTACCTGTGAATATTATTTCTTTTTGGTCCATTTTCTGGCCAGATACTGCCACATCCATACATGTATTGGCAAGTGCAAAGCCTGTGTACAGTGTAATGAGCTGAAACTGAGAAGTAGCAGCTTCTCAGACTATGTCATAGCTGAAGCTGTCCAAGTCCTTGTCACCTGTCACATCTCATTAGAGCAGCTGGTTTAAAACAGGAGGAAGCTCAACTTCACCAGTGACCCCGTACGCTTGTCACTGAACAAGTCTGGAAGTCTTCATACAGCAGAGAGGCAACCTAGGAAAATACTCCTTGCCACCATCTCCATGCTAGTTACGGATTCTCCTCTGAGCCCAGGGAAGTGAGTGGCTCTACCTCCCACAGGGTGCCCCACAGCCCTGGTCTTCTGTAATCACCAGACCTGATAGAGCGTGATAAAACTTACTCCACATGGAAGGAGATATTTCCATCCCTCAGAAACACTAGCATGAGAGAAATAGAGGCATTTTTCTCTTGGCTCTGGCCATGCACCCTGATATAGAGAACATGTGTTCAGATCTTTCCATCTATTTCAGAACAGTTAAAAATGAAATCAAACCCACATACAGAGATGGTTTGGACAAGGCATTGTGTGTAAGAATAATTTATCTGAAGCTCAGAGTGCTGCGAGCCATCCTCTTTCTCAATAACCCCTAAGATGTGACAGGGAATCTATTTTTCTCTGCTGGTGGGGCTAAGCCCTGACACTCTCCCTCCCCATTAGATGTGCCCTGCACTGAGGAAGCAGAACCTCCCAATGTGCATTCTGAGCCATCTACACATCTACACAACACGACCATATTAAGTGTCCAACTGCCATCATTCCAAAAGGCTGCTGCAGATGATAGCAGGATGTGTAAGCCCCAAAACACAAGATCTGGCCCCTTGCAAGTTCAGGGGTTTGCTTTTCTGGGTTCACATCAGACTATTAACAACGCCATTTGATAATGTTTTCTTCAGCATAACATACCAGAATGCTATGAGGTAATGCTATGATAATGTTATATATATATATATATATATATATATATATATATATATATAAATGCTATGATAAACAGAATAACTTTCATGGGTACTTTAACAGCAAGAAGGCAGCTAAAAGTAGACAGCAGTGTTTCCAGAAGTAAATGAAAGACTGCTACTTACTGACACAGAAGCTGCATTCCCTGGCCTATAGTTGTTAGGAATGTGTCGGAAACCTCTCTGAAGTGGTATCCCTGGAGGTGATGATGCTCCTCTACAGCTTGGCTCACTGATTGCAAATCCCATGGGAAATGGGTGGTAAGGATATACCCCAGAACACCCAGGGTACACTTTTGGAGGTTCTCTCTCCAGGTATTCTGGTTTGACCATGTATTCTGGAGGAAAAGCAGGGTGAGCTAGGAAAAATGAGAGAAGAACAAATAGAAGCATCCATGTCATTCTGTGGAGTTCAGCAGATATAGCTGCAAGGCCAAATTCCACTCTTGGGCAAGAGGTTCTGGCCTTTTGGTTTCATGCTTAGCTCCTCATGAATTTGTCATTTTTTTAAGGAACTAAGGAAAGGTGCAACAAATGATCCTGTAACACAGAATGATGCGTGTTCTTTTCTACATGTGCCTTGTGAAGCTACTCCTTAGCGAAGCACTGGCTGCAGAATCTTATTCTTTCGCTACACAAGCAACGGCAAAGCAATGCATCTTGAGGCTTTTAACTCTAGCAGAACTTAAACCAAAAATCTACAGAAAGAATAAAGCTCTAACTTTAGTCCTACCTATCACTTCTTAAGTTCATTTACAGATAAAGGCTCAGTTTTGGGGGCATACACAGGCAATTTCAGATGCAGAAATCAGTTATTTCCTTTGGGTTTTATCTTCCACCTGTAATTTCATATAGCCTCTCTGAAGTCTGAAAATGCAGAGAGTGGTTATTTGAATACAAATAGGGTCTTTCTTGTCTGCACACCCTCCTGTTGGTACAGAACTGGAAGAATTTGCTTTGAGAGTAGGTCGACTTCTGGAGTACTAGAATTAGTTCTATTTGTCCCTCACCTTTTCAGTTGGTCAGCAGGTTAAAAATGTTATTAAGGGAAGGACTGACAGGCACACATCCATAAATATAACTTTCTTAGGAAACAAAGTCAAAGCTAAAAAGAAAAGGGGGAACAGTTATTGACAGATTAGGTGGGAACTGATGTCCAAAACGAGTCTTTCCTCCGGGCTTCTCAGAACAGCATTTTGTCTTGCAGGCTTCCAGCTCTCCAGAGGCTCAGACTAATGACTACTGCAGTCAGTAGGGATTTCTGTAAAATTACTACAGTAAATAGCATAAAGTTACTGAAATAAACAGTAATAAATGAGACAAGTTATATGAAAGACATTAAAGGAAGCAATTTAAGAGGTCACTGACCATACAGCTATTCCACCTGTAAAATCTATGCTTTGCCCTTACACAACACATACACTTTTAAACCAAGTGATCTCAGCCAAGTTCAGATTGCTATGGGAATTAAGGCCAAAAGGTCTCTTTCGTTTAAAATGCTACCATAAAATGCTTGCTTCAGGCAACTGCAACAGTAACTTTCCCATTTAGCGAGGTCTTTAGCAGTTTTGTTGCCGGAGGCTTGTGCCTGTGTATTGAGAAATAGACAGCACTCAGAGAAGATGCAGGAGCACCTGCAGTGCACACTGGATCACAGTCTGGTTTCCCTCTCACACTAATTTCCCTCTTACAGAAAAGCCACTTGATCGAGCTTCAACTTCGCAATGAGCAACAAGGCTCAGCACACTGCTCCTGCTGCTGCAGAGCTGCGTGACTGCATTGCAGACCCTGCAGGAGGGAAAACAAATGTAAGGTTGCACATTCCACATGCAAGCTGGGTACCTGAGGAAGGAAAGCAGCAGAGACAGCAGGAATGGTTCTCAGGAGCCTGAGGAATCAGCAGGTGCAACCTGCACAAGGGGAAGTGTTTGACAGGGGAAGAGGATGAATGTGGAAAGATGTCAGACAGGGAAGAGGCTTTGGGGACAGGTCCTTACCATAGTCCCAGAAGGAAGGGCCGCTGGGAGGTGGTGGCAGCGGTCCCTTGCATACCGTGCCTTTGCTGTTGCTGCCGGTGGGGTGGGCGTCCTTCATCCCCCCATGGCTGCTCTGCTCAGGAGCACTGGCTGCCCCGGAGCCTTCGCTCGGAGAAACGGGCCCAGGGGCTGGCTCAACAGGGGGGTCAGGTACCTGCTGCCTCAGGGCCTTCTGGGCCGCCATGATCTTCTGGCGCTCGGTGATGAGGGCACACTTGTCGCACAGGCAGAGCTTCCAGCGGCAGTGCCCGGCATGGCCCTTCACCGGCACCACGAAGCCATGGTTGCGGCAGCGGGAGCACTTGGGTGTGCGCAGTGCTGCCTTCGCTGCCGCAGCTGCTGCCTCCTCTGCCTCCATGGCACACCCGTCCCAGTTAATCACCCTGAAATGGCTGGGCCAGCGCCTCGGGGCTCTTATATAGAGCATGGCCGCTGCTACCCCAGCATGTAGCAACCTGGGCAGGCGGGGCAGGAGAGCCCATGGCAGCGGGTGGGGAATGCCCTGCAGCACAGGAGGTGCCTTGGCCTCGCCGGGCTCCCCTCCCTCAGCCAGGAATGGCTGTACCTGCTCACCTCCCCCTGCAGCCCCTTGGTGCAGGCTGGACCCAGGCCTCACCCATGGGGGCTGGAGATAAAGAGATAAAAGATTGTGTCTGCAAGAGTGAAAAGGATACATTTCGCTATGCCAGTACGTGCAGAGACGGGGAATTTTGGACAGGTGGGGTGTGCATGGAACAGAAATGCAGTGTCCCTTACAATTTGCCTTAAGTGATAGGTTTCCCTTTTGGCACTTAACTCACTTTCATACCTCTCATGCATTTACTTGTAATATGCACAGGGTTTCAGTTCCATTTTGTTTCTAATTTGCAGCATGCTTCTCTTGATCAGGAGGCTCTGCCTCAGCAGAATGAAAAGACTGCTTTCATCATTCTGTTTTTCAAAACGAGGTACTGAGATGAAGGCAGAAAGCATATTGTCATTGGAAAGACCTGTCTCCTTCTCTCAGAATTCCTTCTCCGAAAACAAAGAGAGGTTTACAGTTAGAAACACAGGAATGCTCCAGTTCAGTATTGCTTAGAAAGTACTTGTTATTTGTTACTGCTGGTAGCTACAAAACCATGGTTTACACAGTAGCCCATTACCAAGAAAAAACTCTCCACTGTGCAACCTAAAGCATGGCAATGCTGGTTTTTTTCTCGCCATGTGCAACAGCTAATTCTGTTTTAAAATCCTGAGATGCCAACAGCTTCTTCTGCATTAAAGAGAATGCCATAAAAATAAACCACCAAGTAGCTGTGCAGTTTCTTACCAGTTAGTTCCAAGAGGAGCACCTAACATCTATCTGCCGCTCTGAACCAATTCTGGGTTTCGCAGCAGCTTTGCAGAAGCCCTTCCCTTGGAGCAAACCTTCCTGCAAAACTTGGGTGTACCCTCAGTATCTGGGGGGGGGGGAGCCGAGGGGGGGTTTGAGCCCCTGGCACAGCAGGACCTCTAAGAGATTTGGCAACAGTCTAGTTTGCCTGAGCAGTGAGCACCCAGCAAAGTGTGCTGTGCCCTGCAAGCCCCCAAGCCTCAGCCTGGATTCAGCCTTTACACTTTGCAAGAGATCATGTTGGAGTTTGCATCTGAGTCCTGCAGGTTTCCAGTAGGATTGAGTCTCCTGGGGAGATGAGTCCATAAGTGCAGTACCAGCATACAAGCCCAGACTTGCTCTTAAAGCAGTTCAGACTCAAATCCTCAAGTGCACAACATCCCCAGATCAGCCAGCCTGCAGGTTTTGCTATTGCAGTTGCAGACTCTTTGGTAGCTGCTGTTTGTGCAAGGCTCTCAGCCATGCCTTTGCACCCACGCATTCAGGGATCCCATGCAGGAGAAAGGCCAAATCTGCCCAGGCACGCAGCAGGTCACATAAGAGAGACCACAGTAGTGTTCTGTAGAAAGCAGGTGCTGGATTGCACGCACAGCACCTCCTTTTCTGAGTGGCAGGCAGCAAAGCACACATGCAAATGCAAATATGATCAGCTCCCTGTCCTCCATTGCAGACCATTTTCCCCAGAAGACTTCTAAACGCTCTCTAGAAAGCCAGCTTCATGTGCATGGCTAAATATATCTGAATATTTGACCTGTAAATGTTATCGTTTCTTCCTAGTTGGAAAAGGAAACTTGGTTGATAGGCCTGCAGTAGAAGCTACTCTTAACACAGCCTTGAAGTGCTGCTCGCTTGTGCCAGCGCCTTGGGTGTTCCTGTAATCATTCTAAACATTGATTCTGTTTTAAATATAGACCGATAATATATTCCTAATTTTATGCTCCATATTTTTTGCTGTATGTTGAAGATGTGCATATTTAGTTGTAGAATGAAAGGGGATAGATGACATGTTTTAAAAAGCTGTAATTTCATCTTTCCATAGATACACAATCTGTGTTCATTTGGCTACTTAAGCAGTGGAGGAGAATGGTAAGCTGTGTACAATTTTGCCAGTAATTTTCTATTCTGAATCACATACTACTATTATTCAAGACATTTACTCAAAAATACTTATTTCTCTTCTCATTTGAAAAAGGTAGACCAGGCATGGGCTGTACCAGTTTCACCATGAATAAACCATGTCTTTCAAAGTCATGTGGAATTTTCTTTTGAACAGTGTTCACCTAAGCACTCAGGATTTATTATACTCTCCATATAGTTTGTTTTAAACATAACTAGACTTTCTTTTTATAGGAAAGTGAACATTTTACTTTGCTTGTGAAGTAGGTATTTATTTCTGCAGACAGCTCAAAGAATGCTGCTATTCCAATCCTGTGATGTGTTCATACCTACATTTGAGTTAGCATCTCACACACCGTCAGCAAGACCATCACACAGGGAAGACAGAACAATTTTGAAATACATATTTGGAATGAGATGTAGAATTAAATATGGATGCAGCTTTGTGTCTGTTATCATTTTCTCCTTTAGTCATATTTGAAAGAAAATCAGGCACAATAAAGACTCTTCTCTAAAACTTACTCAGTTTAGCATTTTATGTAACATATGGTGGGAGTGTAACATAAAGTGGGGCAGAGTTCTGTCTTGAAATAACATTTATAAGAATTACTATCTTGCCAAAATGAAAACAAAGCAACCTGCTGATTTCATGTTACTGAAATCAATAGCAATCATGTCTCTACTTCTTTCCAACTTCTGAACTATATGAAGTGTATGAACGTTTTGGTACGCAGTTTGCCTTGAACTGTGAAGAAAAAACAGTGAAGAAAAATAAGGATATTAATAAAAGAGAGCAAATCAAAAGCCTCTCTGCCTTTAAACTGAATAGCAGAAAATTGGGTTGGATTTTTTCCTCCTTTTCAGACTTTCCAGCTAACATTTTCTGCAGTAAACGTTTTTTGGCAAGGAAATTGTTCTGCTTAGATCTGACATTTCACAGAGCAATAGCAACATAATCAAGAAATTTGTTCCCTCTGAGAGCTCTATTAACAAATATTTGCAAACTTGGTTCAAAATAAATGGGGAACTTTATGTAAAACATTGAAGAATATCTTTGGAAATTTTAAGACATCACAAATGAAGATAAAATCCTCTCTTAAAAATAAGCGTGGCAGTTTGGAAGTGTCCATTATGTACTGCCATAAGTCATTATATTAAAATGGACACAGCAATAGTGTTATCAGCTCTTCTACATTATAGATGATTAGTTCCATGTTTATGGTTATCAGTTACGGTATAATCAACATGACGACATTTACCTGCACAGGTAGAACTGTCCAAGGAGCACTATCTGGGTTCAAATGCTCCACCTGTGGATTGGTAACTATTCTCCTGCCATCTTTTGAAGTTACAGGGAGACTACTGTGGCTTCCTGTACTTCCAGATGAGCTTGCAGGTTAATTATGAACCCTTACTGATCCCCTACTCAAGTCAGGTGTAACCCACAGGCTGGCAAGAAGGCTTCTCTAAACTGCCAAGGAACATCAATACTCCTTCCCTGGCTTGTTGCTGGGAAGACTGTTTTCATCTCCTAACACATCCCTGGGCTATTTGTTCATTAAAATACAGCTTGAATATCTCCACACTGTTTTGCAGTCATGTATGTCTCTTCTCTCCATCCACAAGACTAGAAATCCTTCCTTCCCCTCCCATCTAGATTAGATTGTGCAGTATCCTTTCCTCTGAACTCCACATGTGCAATCTTCTCCCACTTTTACACACTCAAAAGCCTTCAGTAGGGATTGTTCTGGATTATATTGTGCATATCTTTGCCTTCCTCTTATTTCTCTTTTGCATTAATTACATCCTGCTTTGCTTCCCTTTCACAAGGGAAGAAGAATCCCTTTCATATTTTATCCCAGTCATAGCTATCAGCTCATATTCACTGTCAAGATGTGGATTGTCACTTTCACCTGGCCCAGAATATCATTTTACTAAGTAGCACTGATAGCACACCTTCCTGGTTTCTTCTGTAGCCATTCTCATCTTTAGAAGCTCCTTATAAAAATCACCAAAGCCCTTAAAGCATTCTCTGCCTGACCTGTACCACAAACTCTTCCTTTCACCATCGATATGCAGTAGCATATCCGTCAATGGTAAGTCACAGGTTTGCAAGGTTCAGCTCTCTGCTGACATGCTTTTGAGCTTGTCTAATCCTGCCCAAAGCAAGTCCACATGACAATTAATAAAATTCTTCAGATTGCTTCTGTAGACTGTTTTCTACCTTTCTAATCACTGTGAAATTGTACTGTAGTAAACATAGTTTTAAATGTGAGGGAAAGCGCAGCATAGAAACAGTTCAATTTGATAAGATCATACCTGCCTTCGGATTTGAAAAGCTAAAATGTGTTTGGGTTACACCATTTTTAAGCCTGGTTCCAGTTAAGTTGTTTAAACTGATATAAACAGATTCACCTTTTCAGTTCTCTTTCAGTGTCAGTTCCTTTACTTTAAACTGTTGTCTTCAGTAATTCAAACAGGAATTCCAGTGGAGTGGATTTTTTTGTTCCTGTGACACAAGTTTTAAATGAACACTGTTAGGTGTTAATTTTCATCTGTTGTATCAAAAAGGTGAAACTCTATGCTGTGATCAGAGAAAACTAGATTGAGTTCATACGAATCTTAAAAAATTATGAAAGTTCTATAAAGTACTTCTGGTTTCTTTAACAAACACAACTGAAATAAAGCTTGAGTACTTAAAATTGTGGATCTTTTTAATACATAACAAGAAACCCAGTTCTTAAATATTAACAACAGAAACTTTATTAGTACAATGGCTGTATGTTACTGTAACAAGATCTTTATTTAAGAGAAAAGCAATAGTGATTAAACTGGAAAGTCTGTGATGTGGTTATTTCATGAGTACCAGAAGTACCAGGAGAGACATGAACCCTAGCAAGGAAACAAAACACAGAACAGTTCTTTGCATTAATGTCTTCCATATAAGGAGGAAATAAAATGTATTGAGAAGAGAATGAGACAGACATAAACACACACAGACCATTTCCCCAAATAAGTGACAAAGTGTTTAAAAATCCCTATCTAGAACAAATAGATCTATGTTAAAAGCCTTCTGTGGAAGATGCTCCATCAGTCTGTAGGAAATAAGGATCAGTGTGTCATCCAAGTCTGATTGTTTCCTTATATTCCTCTGTCTAAGAAATGGAATAATTATCCCTTCAGAAGAAATCTTTTGTCTCTTTAGAAGGTCACCTTCGTGGGCCTTCATAAAAAGCCCTGAAAACCAAAGAATAGTCCACTCTGTAGTGCTCTGGCAGCTGCAGGGATGCCTTAGTTACACCACCATTTTACTTTAGTAAGCTCCCAAATCTAGCAGGTTTTAGCCTGGATACCACTAGGCTTGTCAGTCAGCCTTCTGCCTAGAGAAATAAACACAGTTTCAGTCCAATGTCCTCACTCTCCTTCCCCTCAGCTATAGTTCTTGTCATATTCTTTTAGATACAAAGAACACAAAATCACATTTGAATTCTCCTAAACAGCAAAAAAGGGATTTCAGGCAGAAGCAGTCACGCTCACCACTATAAGTAGGTGGCCTGTTTAGAGTCATCTTTGCTTAGCACCTACTTTGTGCTGAAATTGTCATATTACTTTGTCAGCAACCCTGAAGCAGTGCTAATAGATGGATGAGGCAGGGGACAGCTGAAAGACTACTACAAACATCAAGTGTACTTGCTGTGGGCAGGATTCCATTTGTGATTGTCAACACTGGTATATATCTCACGTTTTCTATCTGCGTTTCTCCACCTCACATCTGAATTAGATTTCAGAATATCTGAAGTAGCTTAAACAATGCAAAATAAATAAAACCAGCTGTTTGCCATAATTCCTTTCTCTTCAGCTTGGACTCTTTACAGATACAGCAGTGAAGCAAATGAAAATGAAATGACCAAGTAGTTACTTATCAGCATAGCATGGAGACTATCATCAAAATATTTGCCTTTTAGAGAGAACTGGCAAAGAATAGTGATGATGAAGCTTTGGCATGCATGCTGGAATTGGTTTCTGATATTGATACCAATAGTGTATAATCTGCTTTTTGGACATGATTCTGGGAGTTGATAGATTCCCAGTGAGGTGATAAAGCTTCTTGCTGGCTTCTTAGCCCCATATGTCAAACTGTGGTTTGTAGTGGGGCAGAGGAAACAAGCACTAGCATTGATGAATTTGCATTAGCTGATTCCAGCCAGGTGTATTGAAGGATGCTGTTCAGGAGCATTCCTGCTTTTCCATGTTATTTCCTTAAAATTCTCCTATAGACAATAACAATGGAATTTCCCCAGTTTATTTGAATATATATATATACACTATATGTAAATGTACATATGTTTGAGGTATTTTCACTGGAGAGAACTGCAAATATAAACATAAAAAGACAAGTTGAAAGAATGTGTGCCTGTCTCCAAATTGAGGAATTAAAGCTCTCCTCCCCTGACAGACTTGTTTTCTTGGTAAGTTAAGACAGCTTGCACTTCTCTTTCCAGCATGAAATGTGTTGATAAGATACCTCCGCGGGCTCCTGGAACCTTGAAGTCAGCTGACAAAATGGAATAGACTATAAAATGAATGCATTGATAGGGCATCCTTCTCTTCTACCTCCTTGATGCAGCACATTAAAAACGAGTCCACTTTTTCAAGAGTGGACAGTAAATCATCTGTGACATCAGAGGTTATGGACAAAGAAGATGTGAAAGTAGCAGAGGGCTGACCAGCAGCTTTGGCAGATACAATGATAAGAGGACAGTGGTGTGAAGCCTTACTAAACTATTTTCACTGTGGAAGCAAAAGGGAAACAAAAGAGACACATTTTCTTGGCATTTCGTATTTTGTGATCAAAAAATCAGACTGCCATCTCAATAAATGGAACTATTTGTAAGATAAGTTATTATGAAGCATAAAAATAACAGAATCAGACCATAGGTAGTTAGCAGTATTTCTTTTGAATCTAAACCAAAACTGATTTTAAGTCAGGAAAGTTTAGTTTGATCAACTCCAGAAAACAAATAGAAAAAGACACCAAATCATCTCTTCCCTTTCCCTGGAGCTGTGGGACCGAACTGTCACAAAAGGTTGCCTTTTCCTGCAGGGTTGTGCTGTTGGAAAGATTGACCTACAACAGCAATGGCTCCTTCAAGCAGCCCCTCTTTAGCTTTTTCCTCAGCAGTAGGCTGGTGCTCTGCTCTCAGATCCAGCTTCTCTGAAGCTCCATGCTTTGGGCAGCCATGAACACACTCTGGCTCTCAGCAACAGCAGGAAGAAATGAAAGGGCAGCTGAATGCCCAGCAGCAGACCATGCAGCCTTCACCCATCCAGTACACAGATGTGACGTGGCTGCTTGAAACCTTTTAGACTTATGCTTATTTGCCATGCATGTAATATACATATGAAATAAAATGAAATAGAAGGGCAGCAGTGGTGGGAAGTCATTGCTATGGTGAGAAATGACCCGTTAGTGGTCCCTAGTTTTGGCTGAACAACAGTTCTTTCTATGCATGTATCTTCATCTTTGAAGTAACAGCACCAGCAAGCAGTCACATTATTATTTAAAATAAAATACTGTAGGGTTAAAGTCTTATTAAAATTACTTCCATGGCACATTTAAACTGAGGACAGCAGTTGAATTTCTGGAAGGAGGTGAGGTACACCTGCTTTGACCCCAGCACGAGGAGTGTGTTTCATGCACAGTGTCCCACTTGGGCATAACATACTATAGGGTGTACTGAGGTTTACCTCAGGCATTCTTGGCCTCTACCACCAGAAATGTCTTTATTCCTGAAAGAGATTTTGCTTTCAAAGTAGATTGAGCCCACAGATTTCACACTCCAATCAGTTCACACACAACATTACTGTTGTCTTAAAGTTTATTAGGACTCCAGTCTCTTAACATATGGCTCCTGTTTTCCATGGATAACGAGTCTGAAAATGCTGAACTGGAGCATGCTGTTTTGCAATACTATGGTAAACATTCTCATATATATTTAACAGAAGAGTTATCTTTTGATAAACACTGACATGGCTACACATACTAAAGTGAATTAATAAATTCACATCATGGTAAGTGTTCCTGACTAAAGTGGGTATTCACTCAGTTCATTGAAATTGCATATTTACAATATTTGTATTTCATTTTAGCATTCCTTGCCGCAGAGCTTATGCAAAACCAAGCAAGTTTGGTATTTTTTGAGCACACTGTATTCTTAAAGGTTGAAGTGTTAATGATAGTTACTGTTATTTGCAGTTAGCAGAAATTTTCACAGAATATTTACTGGAAGACATCCAAAGGCTTCCTTGCTCTTTAATAGCAGATCTGTACATGTCTGTACTGTACAAATCTGTACTGCACAAATCTGTACTGCAATGGTAAACTGGTGAGTATTATAGATTGCTACTTACTTGATAATAAGCCTGGGGAAAGAAGCTGAGCTATCTTCATTATCTCAACTAAGACAAGCTTTCCTATTTTTATAGCAGTCTCTTTCACCTGTCCAAGCAGTCAAACATGGAGAGTAAAAATGAATATTTGACATGAGATTTCGGGAATGCCTTGTATAATGGTGTTAATATTTTCATCTATCTACTAGCAATACCAAACCTGGAACATTTCAGGATTGTGTTTAGCTTTTCCACAGCTATCTTCACAGTAGTGACTCATAAGCAGCCTGTCTTCAAATAATGGATCTCTTCCTTGTTTGGTTTCCAAGTGCTGAGGTCCTGCTCTTTTTTTTTCATACATACATTGTATGCTGTTAAATTTCATTCCATTTCTGTTATTTCAGTTGTCACAGTATCTATTCCTTTCCTATATGAGCCTTTAATCCTCTTCTATATTAGTAATATCTCTCAGTGTTTGCTTTCTACAAAATTTCATTAGCATACTCTCTTTGTGTCACAGTCATTACTGGAATAATTAAATAAGACATATTCCAACACTGATCCTGTAAGAATCACAGTGAAATCCTTACTTTACAGAAGGCTAATGGATAGTACCCACAACACATTCTACTGACCAAAACAGTGGTTTTAATCAAGAGAAGTATATTCACTCAAGCTGCTTTATGTTTGGTAAACTTAAGTTGCATTTTGTCCCATTTTCCATTTGTGTCTACTTACATACACGTTTTCTTTAAAATGCCTTCTAGAGCCTTGAATATTGTAGAGGTCACTCTAATGTTTTCTGGTTGTCCTTTTTTCCCCTTTCTGAAATACAGGCGAGAGGTTTGCTTTGCAATGGCAATATGCTACCAGTTGGCAGCTCTATTAAAAATCCTTGCTGCCGGACATGCAATTTTATGTGTGAGTTCTTTCAGAACACAGGGACAGAGATTATCCTGTCCCTTCAATTTCAGTGCTTTAAGCTCTATGAGTTTTTCTTCTACCTCACATATGACAATTTCCATTTCTATAGCCTCATTCCATTTGCATGTTACATTTCTCGTTTCTGGATAGTTTTATCTTTAATTGCAAAGTGCCTGGCAAAGCCATTCTTACTAGGATTTATTTTCATAATAAAGGTCCTTTGATTAATCACAGTTCTATGTGAATTATTAGGCTTTGCCACAATAAATAAATAAACCACAGTTGTGGGGTTTTACAGCCAATTCTATATAAAAACTTCACTGAAAGGATAGAAACAGTTATGCATCCATGCATGTAATAGTGCTATGACAATGTTGCTACTATCAGACCATGCACTATTTAGAATACAAATGCATCTGAAAATAACTGGATTTGTGAAGAGCAAATGGCAGAACTGAACAGGAAATACTGCAATTAAATGACTTGCAGGATTAGGAATTTCAGTCTGTTATCAGACTATTTCATTCAGGCACCTCCGCCGTATCCCTCTGAGCTCCACAGAACAGTCTGGTTTTATGGGAACTGCAAAACTTCACAGATTAGAGTTTAGGATTGTGGGTGGCTTCTCCTGTGAGGTATTTCCTAAGGCAGGGTGAGTTCTCATGGGCTGTTTAGGAAATGGTTATAATTACTGTGAGGGTTTTCCAGGGTAAAGCTCATAAGAGTCACTGGGCTGGTGCTGTGAATTAGCACAGTGTAATCTTTAGTAACTTGTGCTAACAAATGGATACCTAATAAACAGTCTGTTTCTTTTGTATTTGTCATATGGTAGTTAGCTTCCACCTTGAGCTACTGGTATAGTAGCCCCAGATACTCAGAAAGTGGATGTGAGCAAATGGCTACTCCATCAGTTTTAGATTATCAGAGAACCTGATGTAAAGAAACTCGTGTAAAGAAATAATGAAATACAAACCTTATAAGGATAATCCTGATTTGAGGGTTTCTTTTTGCTCAAATCATGCCTGTATCTGGTTTTCTGTGTGCAAATTATTCAGTAGCTGTAATGGCAAGTACAAAGTTTATATATGGCATATGTAATAACAAGGAAATAAAGGAAAAATTACAAGACTGTTGATTGGCAAAAAAGAATTAACCAAGACTCAAAGTAAGAACTAAAGAAATTATATTAAATAAATTGTTATTACTAATTTTCCTAGTTTGAACTCTGCGCAATTGTGTATGAAAAATGACAAAGCAAAGTGCCTCCCTTTTACACTGATTTCCATGATGAAAGTCAGGTTCACATGGAGTAAAGCATGAGAAAAATAAAGACCAGAATATGTGGTGAAGACAGACAGATTAGAAATAGAATGAATGAGGAATAATTTAGAAAGAAAATATAAACACAAGAAAAAAAAAAAAAAGGAAAGAGGGAATGAATATGTATGAGGTTAGATTTACAGAATTAAGGGAAAATGGGAGATGTGCTCGGGGTTTTCAGCCTTATTTTGATCAGTCCTACAGTGACTGAGTAATAGAAAAATAAAACTTTTGTGGGGGACTGAAAGAGGAGGTAATTTATATATATATTATTTCTTTATGTTCATAATAAGGCTTCCAGGATGCAGCAATGTAATGTTAATAGAAGTTACTATAGGTGACCCTAATTGATTGGGTGGAAAGCCTTTGCATTCCTCACATGGAGCTGTGGAACAGTACAAGCATTTTAGCAATTCATGTAACAACAGAAAGAGCTCCCCTCTGGATTATCTTACCTGGTGTCAAAACAGAGCAATCACCAATGTAAGTGCTTTGTACCAGTCCTGGTGCTGTTGATGCCTCTACATGCAATTTAGGCAGCCTTAAACCAAGCAGCAGTGAGGATGAACTGGTTGATATACATCTCATAATGCAGAAAAGTCCACCCTGATTTTTCACTAGAATAAAAAAAAAACAAACCACAAAAGCTCTCCTTAATTTAATGAAATTACACTAAATTGATATCAGCATAATCAAAAGCAAAGGAAAAAACCTCATAAAAGAATCATACCAGTGTGTTTTACCAGCAGGCCAGAACCTGGCTCACAGATGTTCACTTGCAGGCAGATGGTGTGCATATGTAATACATGTAACAGGACAGATATTTAGGCATGTATAATGACTGTTAAAAGAGTAATTGGATTTCCCAGAGGACTTAAAAGGAGGGCTTCAGTGTATACTCAGCTATTTTGTTTCAAACTTTGGTGCTTCACTAAATCTTTTCAGGTACCAGTGACTTGACTGTACATACCAGGCACACCCTGAACTGTGGCATTTTGTGAAAGACAAGCCAATTTCTGTGTAAATGTGGAACTGAGGCACACGCTACCCTTCAGTTTCAGTCAAAATGCTGTGGAGGAAACCACGAGGTCACTTGGCTCCTCCAAAAGTCACCTAGGGCAAGCAGAGCTCCTGCCTTTCATATTGCTGCTTCACTGCCTGGGTCCCCTCACTCTCCACTGTTCTTTCTGTCTGAACAATGAAAGCCTAGATTAAACAAATACAGTATTTCCATTGAAAGAAAACAGCACTGTAGCAGCAGAAAGCTCTGCCTGCTGCCCTGTGCTCCCCAGTCTCCCTCACAGCGTGCCTTCCATGCCCACAGCAGCCATTTTGCTGATGACGGATCACTGTCCCCCGAGCCCACAGCTTAGTCTCTGTGATGTCTAGGGGCTGGTATGTTCCTCAGGGCAAGGTGAAGGAGATTTCCATGTCAGCTTTCTCACTTGTGTGTGGTTTGGAGTTGCTCAGGGGTCATTGCATACTGCCTGCCATGGTGCTATGGCAGGGCCCTCTACCTCTGCACCACAGTGAAGGGGCTGAGGTGGGAAAAACAACATGGCTGCCTCAGGGGAAACTGAGGCACGGTGCTGCGGCTAGGGAGAAGAGCTGCATGTGGCACCCTTGGAGATGAAAAATGTCCAGGAAGAAAGGAAGAAATAGGAAAAAAGACACCAAAATGTGGAGTAGCTAAAGTGGGCATTGCTTGGTGAGGAGCCATTATTCACGTTGCTGTGTTTAGGCCTTGTGTCTCTACCCTGTGCAGCAAGGACAAGAGATGAGCACCAAGGGCCACCACAGCACATCCACCAGCAGCTGCCATTGCTGGAGATCCACACAGGAAGCATGAGCCCATGCTTCCCAGAGGTGCTGCCCCAGCTGAAGCATGACATGGCTGTCTCTGAGGCAGCAAGAGAAGCGTTCTCAGCAGCCTGGCATATGGTGCAGGGCAGCAGCACACAGGAGGAGCAGACGGCGCTGGGAGAATACCAGGCTTCAGAAGAAACTGCTGAGGAAAAGGGGTTTTTAACTAAGGAGGGGTTATTTGTGGCTCTTCTGCCATTGTGAGTGTCACTGCAGCTAAGAACTGTCATAGCACTTGCTGTGTGGTACCTGGGGCTGCGGCAGCAGCGGTGGTAGCTGCTGTGCTTATTCTGACTAAAGCTCAGGGATAAAAATGAGTGGGAGAAGAAGGAGGGCTAAACCTGGGGGGTTATATTCTCTTCAAAATGGCCTCCTAGAGCAGTTTGCTCTGCAGTCCTTCCTTGGGAAGCACTTCCTTAGCCTGGCACTGCAGTTTTTAGTCCATGGCATTGACAGATGTTGTTTGCTAGCTGCAGTCCTCCCTGGTTGGAGCTATGTGCTGCCGATGGTGTCTCTTGTGGCAAAAGTTTGCCATGTTTTGGGTGGATCTAGATAAAGAATCCATGGAATGGGTTTGGGAGGGATGGTGGTGGTGGCGGTGGTGGTGTGTTTTTCAACAGAGTGCTTTTTCTAGAACTGCAAATGAAACTGGACAGTTCTGTCAAGAAAATGTTGCCAGTTTCTGCTAGATCTTACTCCTTTATGCCAGGCATTTACACTTTGTTTTTGTCACAGTGGCAGGTGGAAGCTTCATGTGGATAAAAGTGTTCTTGGCTAGGATTAATTAGCAGAATATTATGGATTGGGTGGGTGTTCCATGTACAAGGGCAGAAGCAAAGCAAAATGGATGAGGAGAAGCAAAAGGCTGCAGTGATTAATTTGCCCTAATGCTGGTTCTTTTCATAGTGACCTGCGAAATCAACAACACTTTTAGGGTTTCCATCACATCAGGTATATTAATAAAGAAAAATGTAAATGTCCAATACATTTGGAAAAAAAATTGAGTCGAAAGCACTGTTTCAGGAATTGCAGCCAGGTCCAGAAGAAACTACTGCCTTGTGCATGCATACTCTGTGTACATGGGCCTGGTTTCATAGTCCGTATTCCTGAGGGGTTCTTGATTTACTGGGTTCTTGAGATGGTTGAAAATCATCTGGTTAACATCATTAGCGACAGCAAATTGCTTTCCATAGCTAAACATTTTTCAGACTTCTTTTTAGTTATATGGGGTTTACTTTGCATCTTTTACATGAGTTCCTGGATGACTTTGTAGAAACAGACAGTATGATTTTAATTAATAGCTGGTAAAGAAATCAGGATAGAAACACACAGTATGATTTTAATTAATAGCTGGTAAAGAAATCAGGATAGAAACAGAATCCTACAGAAGTATTTTTGTTGTGCTTTATTATATGGACAAATCCCCAAAGGAGACTCTTAATGTCCTATTTTCCTCCTTGAATATTCTTATAGTCTTCTTTAAGTAGAATCCAGTTTGGACAGAGGTTAGTGCACATGATGTCTGGTTGGGTCATTTTGCTGTCAGTTGTAACTGCCCTTGCCTGCAGCATTCTTTCTCTTTGTTGGTAAAATGGTGTATTTTTGACCCTACACTTCCCTTTTTTTCTCTCTGTTGCCAGCAGGCTGTGTGCAGTGCTAGCACAGCCAGAGTAATCCCATAGATTCTCCTGCAGTGAATTCCTTATGAAACATGGAGCCTAGCAGGCATGCCAAGCTATGGAGCAAAGTGTTGCTGCTGTCTGCTCTATAGCACAATGTTACATCTTCCTTTCTGGAAACCAGTCTTACACTGTGAGATGCATTTAGGACACCAAAAGACTAAGTACATTTGGGTATTTTGATACATGCAAATCTGTAGGTGTGCAAGCAACTGAGCTGCAAAGTAAAGTGTCTCTCAGATCTTCTCTCATCAGCACTAGATGCCAGGTCAGGAAGATGCAAGTCACATCTCATCCATCCTTTCTCAGGAATAGGGCAACAGCAAGATAAATTTAGTCCCAAATACAAATATACAGTCACTTGCCTGTCTCCATACAGCTGATGTTACAGAAAGTGTTCGTTCTGTCTGCATAGTTTCCAGACTTTGAAATCTCAGTTGCAGTCTATTTCCCAATGCCCTGTTACCTTCATACATGTTTAATTTTCCCTGGGCTCCCTGTAAGCAAGTTGGTATAGATGATTGGAAATAACAATTCAGTTCTTTTTAAAGAGAGATGGCATTAAATCTGTTTGAGTCCTTTTCATGCTGAGTACTCAAGATGATGGCTTGCGTGACTTCTGTTTTCTAAAACAGAGTGCTGAATATATTTTATGAAAACAATAATGGACCAAAGAACAATGATTTTAGGCTGATGCATCTCATTTCATCCTAGTGAAGGTGGAACTGTCTGAGTATAAACTTATGCAAATATACTTGGCTTTTTATAGGAAGAGGGTCTATTTGTATTCATTCTCTAAAGATGCATTGACAGTGCGTGACATACATTATTTCAATTTGAATGTACAATCTGTGCAGTCCTTTTCTCAATCTTGGGGAGGGGTGGGATGGTGGCTGTGCTAGCCTGGGAAAAGGTTGCTTTCATCCCAGAACATGGGACTAAAACAAGTTGGAATTTTCTGAATTAGTTCCCTGTGTTCACTACAAAGCCTGGAAAATAGCTTTACACGTGTAACTATGGCACCAGGAGGTTTAACAACTGAGCATTTGCAAGTAGGGGACACTAGAGATTGATGCTTGTCAAACTACAACGTGTTAGCTGCAGCAATGAAGCAGAACATTGCTACTGCCCTCCTATATGCACCAACAGTTCTCAGCCTTGTTTATTTGGCTCTTCTTGCAGTGGGATTTACCTTGGTTTGAAACAGAGCCAAGTTCTGTCTGAAGGCTATGGGGTGGTTTATAACACGTCGTGCCACCTTTGAATCAGTAGATGGAGCTCCAAGATAGATCGTTCTAGCCCTGAAGCGTTGCAATCAATTAAACATACAGCTGTTAAGAGACGACAGTAATTACAAGACTAAATTATATCCTTAAATAATCACTAGGGATTTATACATCTTATTCTACAAACCTTGTCGTACATACATGGAGGTTTGTTAGAGGGAGAAAATACATTCATTCTGTGCCTCTCTCCCAGATCTCTCTGGTGTCTTTCTGAGTGTTTAGAAGACTCTGATAGCCAAAGTCATACGTGTAGCCTTGGCTTCAGTGTTTTATCTTTAGCTGCCTGTCATGGTCTAGTTTATAGAAACCTGCTTATGATAATGGGCTTTAATTTTCAGTCTTAAATTCAGTGCATTTTTCCCATATAATATGAACAGTTAGTATTGACTTTGATGTTTTCTACACTTCACCATTTTGGCCCTTGGTCTCCCAGATTATGGTCTATATTTAGTGCTACAATCATTGTTCAAAAATCTAACCCTCTACTTTAATGCACTTTTCATTATTCTTCAGATTGTCTTTGACCTCAGTTGTTCACAGATTTGCTAATTGTTCCTACTGTTTAAATGCATCACTTAGAATTCCAAGAAGTGGAGACTGCTGAGTGCTTGCCTGATTAAAACCTGCTTTGAGTAAACCGGTAGAAACATCAACAATAAGAATTACCCCCTTAAACTGTGGTGTCTAGAAAAGATGCAGTTTACCAACAATATTGTGATTGCGCCAGCAGTAAAAGAGAAACTACCAGAGCACAAATAAATGGTCTTAAAGTCATTAGTGATTGAGGATATGACACGAATGACAGTTTGTTTTACGAGAATTGGATCTTTAGTAAGATAGTTGTCAGATACATACAAATTAATCAGAACACGTCAAGAAGAATGCAATGCCACTTCCTTTTGGGTAAGTGAAATTAGGCAGAGTTAGAAGGTTACGAGAACAGGCCCAGCTTTTTGGAGGTGAAAAACAAGATAAAGATTGATTCATACAGGAGACCTGGGTTAGGTCTGTATTAATGTCCTAACCCTAATTAATTTCCCGTCACATGTTGTAAATGGGATGGGAAATGCTGATGGCTTTGTCTTATATTTGGCTGTCTGATAACTTCCTGAGGTACCAGTGAAGTCAGGGTGTCTGTACTAATTTATTGAGACTCTGGCTGCATCCTGTTCAT